AATTTTACCATTTCGTAACGAGTAAAAAAAAAATGCGAACAAAGATCCAAGAGCCATCTGAGAAAGTTTAGAGATCCCGTTGTCATAACATTTTCTGTCTAATAGGGTCTCAGTCAAAAAATTTGAGTTTAGAACCCATGCCTGGAGATGGACTCTCTCATTAGCAACCAAAACAAATGCAGAAAATATAAATTGAGAGTTGATTGGACGGTCCTGCCAACAATCTATAGATGGTCCAGACAGGCGTACATGAATCATTGAACACAAAAAACCATGAATGTCATTTCAATGCAGGGGGGAGAGCTTGGCAAACCGTAATCTAGAGTAAGTATTGCACAATGAGAAAGGTTGTACTAGGACTATATAAGAAGAGGGGGAAGAAGAATTATTATATTTGAGTAATAGATGCTAATTTTGAGTTAGCATCAACTATTGCACAATTTAGTCCCTAATGAGAGCAGTCACAAAAACATAGTTCAAGTAGTGAAGCTGTTCTTTCACAAATTAAGTTAAATGCAGTCTCCTTGTATTCTCATCGTTTATAATGATCTACACTAAAGCAATCATACCTGTATCAGTTCGCTGCTAGCGGATACTAGCACAATACACCTACCATGGGATTCTCGCAACCAGTCATCAACAATTTTCGTAACTCTTCTCAGAGATGTAGTGAGTTCTAAATTGCAGAAAAAGTTTTGAGCTTCGAGTGCTTCTCTTGGGTCCTCATAAATCGTCATACTCTAAAACAACAACAGAAAAGTAAATGGTGAATCTGTGACGGAGAAAAAATTACAAAATTAGCTGAAAGAAAAACATTACAAAAAGGGATAATTAAAGAAACAACACACTACCTTTTCTGCAAAATTACAGAAATACCTTGTCTATCTTTTAACCCTTTGGAAAAAAAAAAATGTGTACCTGCTTGGAGTGTACAATCAATTTAAAACCCTTGGAGCGATCAAAGTCCATGAAATGCCTCTGATACTCGACGAGATGCTGATTTGTCCTCGTAGCAGGACCAAAAGAAAATTTTGCTTCACGAAGTCCCGGAATATTCATGGACGAGAAAGGCACCCTGTGGCCGCTGTACTGGAGGGAAGACAAATTCGGTGCATCAATATTCAATTCTTGTAACTTGTAACAATTAAACAAGGCTAAGCTCCTTAATCTGTCACTTAAAATTGTGAGTCTCCTGAGTTTAGCACATTTAAAAAGCACCAATTTCTCGAGCACTGGGGTTTTGGAGAGGAAACCCTGAAGACCAGTCTCCGTCATTCTATAGTCCTTCAACGTCAAATTTTTCAAACTCCCCAAAATCTCCAGGTTGATTTTGCACTCCTGATTTTTCTCTGCATGAAACGAAAAGCTCTCAAGTTTTGGCGATGCAATCTCAATATAAGAAACCTTGTGACACTCATGCACCTCTACCCTCCTTAGCTTCTTGAGAGATGGGATGGATATATCAAATATGCCCCTACAGTGAACCAGCCTCAAAACTTCAATCAAAGGGCAACACTTCTCAAATTTGGTGATCACGGCCTTATTTATCATCAGGGTATCTTTTATAGAAAGCTCTCTTAAATTAGACATGCATATGGGAGTAAACCCGAATAATATGTAGCCCGACAGCTTTAGAGAAGCTATTGATGTAGACAAAAGCACAACCCTTGGCAAGATAAAATTCTTTCCGTATGTAAAATGTTTTCCGTTCAGCTGAATATCCAGCTCTTTCACGTTTTTGTCCACAGCATCACAAACCCATTTCTCCATGCATTCTTTCAATCGGATATCCATGTTATTCACATACAGCCTGAACTTGTCTATGGAAGGAACTGGCTCGAGCCTTGTTGCTATTGAACGGTTCACATAACACTTGAACTTTTCTTTCTGCAACTCTCGAGCCTTCCTCGTGCGCTTTCCAACTGCCTTTGGCGCACGAAACCATCTCTCATCAAAATCAAAATTCAAGTATGAGCTGAAAGTGTTTCTCCACTTCTTTGAGAGGATGCTAGTCCGGGCCACGTCTTTCGAGCATTTTAGGCAGGTAAAAATATGATGGATGATTGGTTCAGGCAATTCAGAAATCCGATCCACATTTGTATCACGGGACCCATTAATTTCACTGGTCTTTCTCCTCTTCCTAACTATATCATGATTTGAGTTAATGCCCGGTAACCCAATTCTTCGTTTCGACGAATCTCCTCTATCACCACCTCCTCTATCACCGCCGCAATCAGTACCTGTTGGCTGTACCTTAATATTCTTCAGATCATTTGTGGGCCTTGATCTTGATTTCTTGGCGGAACGATCCTTCCTATTATGGATTTGAAGCCAGATTCTAGTCCGAAACATGGCTTATCTAGTTTCAAAGGGAAGAAAACATCTGCACAAAAAAAAAGGGAAGAAAACATCTACACAACCTTAATAAAATAGCAAAATATAATGTAAACCGCTAAATCTTCCAAACACAATTTCAAAGGAACCCACAATTTCAAACAAAACATCAATCAAATTAACAACAACTCACAGTTCAAGAAAACAAGAAATCACAAACGAAGGCAATTGATAATAAGCATCATAAAAACAGTGGCTACTGGAAAAATTCACAAATCTTCAGAAACAATTCATCCGCGAGATGAAAAGGCACAAACCTTTGGCGAGCAGAGGTCAAGAAAAAACAGAATCAAAATTATAAAAGAAAATATTAGGGTACTACAATTTTTTAGACTAAGGTGTGGTTGTTTACAATAAAATAATTTAATTAATATTTAATTCATATTAACTCAATTTTAATTCAACTCAACCACTTTAAATAATATAACTAAATAATCACATCATATCAATTTTAATTTACTATTTATCCATTTATAATTTTAATTAATCATCACTTCTCTTCATCTTTTCCTGACTTTTACATCAAATCAACTTTAATTATTTTATTTTAAGTATTGTTTTAATTTAAATTCAAAAGTTATTTAACAACTAATCAATCCCACCATTTTTAAAATAAACTATGGTTAATTAAAAAACTCGTTTAAGCATATACATCTGTGTACAAACACGCCCTAAAAACGCCTCTATACTTTCAAAAATAATTTCCGAAAAATGTTACTTTTAAAACAACTCAATTTTTATGCATAAATCCTTTTTTATTTCAAATCTGCCTTCTTTCTCTTTTATGAACCTTTTTTAGATTATCTTTAGTTTATCGTAGGTTTATTACATTATCTCTATAATTTATTAAACAATTAATTTAAATTTTTTGATTTATTTTAAATTTATTATCCATTTTTTACTAAAGTGTGAAAAAACAAACATAAAAAAAAATCATATACAACAATAAAATTGAATATGAACTACAAATAAGACAAAAAAAAAAATAAAAAATCATTAACCATAGTGCATCAATAAACATCAAATTTACGCTCGGAATTGTCCAAAACACCAATATATCGTATACTAAAAAAAAAAAATCAAAATAAAAATGAATGTTGAATCTTCTTTAATTCCTAAAAATATGGGCAATGATTTCCTTAAACGTTATCGATAAATATGCCAATAATGAGAAAGAATTTTGAAAAAATTGCTTCTAAAAAATTCGACCAAACGTTTCCTTAAATTTTGGTCAAATGTGTCAATTTGGTTATAAAAATTCAGTCAATCATTTAACAAAATAAAACGTTTAATTTTTTTAAATCTTTTCGAACAGTCATGCCAACTTAATTGTTAAATATATTTTTATCCATATTTATCTATCTATAAATCTCATATTTCATGGTCACAACTAAAAGTTCGTATTTATTTAATAAAGAACGTTAATTTTGGAAATTAATTTTTATATATTTTGATTGTTCAACTTAATTTATGATTTTTTTGTGTCTATATAGCTACAAAATCTTTTAAACTTTAGAAAAAATCTCATATCATGTGTGCTATTGGTACCTATCTATATGTATATATATATAATTACTATTGCTAGCTAATCATTAAATAAAACCTCATAAATAAAACATAATTAATAAAACCTCATTTATTTTCCCTTCAAAAGAAGTTACAAAATATGTCATTCATATTTTGCTTTCACATTAATACACCCCCTATTAAGTGTAATCATGTAAAAAAATTAATAGCATTAACTATTATTAATATTGTTGTTAAACGAAATTGTAACAACATAAACTGTACACCCCGATTCCGTAAATCATCGGTGTAGGATTCATAGGGATTGTTAGTGATTTTTGGTGTGATTTTTGTGTAGAATAATTGTAAGAAAAGATTGAAGATGGGGGCTCAGAGATGATTATCTCCCCTGTTTCTTAAGCGGTGGGAGAGAGAAAAAATAGATCACATCAAAATAGAAGTCCCTCAGAAGATCATAATTCTTGTGTCTATCCATCATGGGGAATTATATATATGGATATTTATTAGGCCCGATATTATTACAAGCGGTATTAGTTTTGGGCCTTAACAATAAGATAAATTACAATAATTGATTTAATACAAATCCACGTGATTTAATATATATATCCACGTGTTATATTTTAATAGGCGAGGCCAAAATTGGGTAACAACAGTAGGCCACCGACTTTAGAATACGTTCTGAATAGAACTGTTCTGAAGTCGCATGTACAGCCAATTTTGACTGACTTTTGCTTTATACACAGTCGAGCTCAAGGAACTTTATGCGGTAATAAATGACACATGGACGTTGTCCGGGTGCTTTCGGACCCGTGGTTACTTTATTGATCGCGCTCAGGCTTCTGCCTGACGTATTAATGCTAATCATGTTTTTGTTCTGAGAACGAAGTCGACTACGTGGATAGTCAACTTTTTGAGATTGCTATATAAATAGAGGCCTGGAAGGCCTAGTCGGGTAATTTGGTACCCAGTTGTCATGTTTTGCGCGTAATATGACGCGGTTTAATGGATTTGCGTCCGTAATGCTGATAATGATATGACTTTATGTGAGTATTCGGGCCCCATAATATTGTTATGGGATTCGTGATTTTGATGTCGTACTGAGACGACACGATTTTTTATTTATTGTTCGTAAGATGGAGCGGGTCGGACAGCTCGATATCCGAACTTTGACCTCATTTTTATTACATTATTGCATGATCAGGTAATGCTCCCGATGTTTCATATAATTTTGAGGAGGGCGTTAGCCTCGCCAAACCAACTTCAGGGTTTGGAAAAAGAATGGGCATATAGCCTTGCCAAACCAACTTCAGGGTTTGGAAAAGAAGTTTTTATGTCGAGATGTATGTATGACGCGCGTATATGATGAATGTATGTATGAATGTATGAATATATATGGGCACGTGCGGGAAATAATTATTGTACGATAAATGATGTTACCTAGATGTTTCGTCGAGTCAAACTTTTTGCCGGTAGGTGCTGTGCCTTGCCGGAATATTGGTCGTACCAAATCAACTTCAGGATTTGGCGAAAGAACATTATTGATGTCGGTTATTATTGTAAGCCCGCTAAATCAACTTCAGGATTTAGCCACGAGGAGCATCAGCCTCCCCAAGCCATCTTCAGGGCTTGGAAGTATCCGGTTGTGTTGCGTTTGGCCAGGCCATACCAACTTCAGGGTACGGACACGTTTAGCCTCAGCAACGAGGACCAATTTATCGAGGGTCCATTAATTGTGTTTCCCCATGGTAGGTTCTGTGCCTTGCCTCTTGCGGGGAAGACACACATTTTTTATGTACCGAACTATTTTTTGAGATTCAGCTCTTTTTAATGTTGGAGTACGGGCTCAACAGCGAAGAAATATACAGATGCCAGATCAGCCGGAGTCGAGGTTCAACGGCAAGCGAATATGGACGTCGGCTCTACAGCGAGCGAATATAAATGTCGGAAATGAAAGATACCTCAGCAGTAATGCATAATTTTGGCCTCAGCATTGGTATATAAATTCAACCCTCGCATTCATCGGTTTGAATAAAATTCGGCCCCGACTCTCGTCGAATTGAATAAATAACTTTGGCTCCGACTCTCTCTCTCTCTTCTTATTTCTTGTTGATGGGCCAATTTAGCGTGAGGCCCAAATTGAACATTAAGTGGACTTTATCATCAAATAGCTGGCCAGTTTTTTCGATTCTTTCTGCTCATCGTTTTTTTCTCTCACAAAAAATTGCGAATAGGGCCTTGTCTTCGAACCTCAACAATTGCAGCAAAATTGGTCCGATTAGAGGACGGTGATCACGATTCGTCGGCGTCGATGTCGTGAATCAAAAACCTAAGTACGTTGTGGTGGTCGGGCACGAATTTTAAGGAGGTCCGGCGATGGCGAATTCGACTGGAGGTGACGTGGTCGGACCCGATTTGTGTTGGGATCGTCTTGAGAGGTCGTCTCTGGCGAGGTCGATTATGTTGAGACCTCGGTGAAGGTGATGTCGGAGCGTGGCCGAGATCAGTTCTGACTGTGAATCTAAGGCTAATCCGAGATCCGGCAGCGAATCAGATGTGAATAGGTATGTTCGATTGTCCCGGAAGTGCGTTGACACATCGGACGTCGGTGAGGTCGCGTGACGACATCGGTCCCAGGGGCAAAGCAGGCCCGATTCTGAAGTTGGCCTGGTTTTGAGGTCGGGCAC